TTTCTTTTTTTTTTACTAAATATAAATTACAAAAATGATATTATAAGTACTAAATATAGTCCTACCTATACGCAGCAACGTTAATACCATCTTGGAAATCATGATAACTTGGTTTAAAAAATCTCGGCCCATTTCGATTATTTCCAAAAAATGCACAACCACCTATGCAACCACATTTTGCTGGCTTTACGCCACTTTCTTGAGGCCATAAAAACCATAAACGTTTTGTGGCTTCATCATGTAATTTTAAATATTTATTTTGTACTAAATGTAAATTATGTTCGGGAGTTGGAAGTGAAATTGCTGCTTCTAAAATAACTGGACCTAAAGCTACTGATCCTACTTCTAACCAGACATCAGAACCATCACCTAGAATACAAAACAAATCGATGAAATAGTAAAAGTTTGCCAACAAAAGTGATATACTTTTTATAATTTTATTATACCTGACATACGACTGCTTGCATTATTGTGTGATCTCCCACTGCCTGTTGTATTAGTATTACTTGTATTTGCAAAGTGATCAGCTGCTGACACAAACTGTCGAACTACTGTTCTAGGTAATATACTAGTTACACCAGATTTAACATGTTGACCATGAAGATTACACGTGGAAATACGAATCGGAGATATCCAAAGATGTACGGCTGTTCCTACCTCTTGAAAATGTAAATCAACTGCATCTATCGCTATTCTGGTCATTCTATATTTTATATCTTCAGAACTAGGACATCTGAAATAACACAGTAAGTTTATTACCAATTTAGAAATGTTATTATTTATATAATATTATTGTATACCTATAGTGTTTATCAATGTCGCTATCAGGGCATTCTAAGGGAGGAATACCATGATGACAATGATGCGGCAAATCAGGAGGGCGTAAAGTATTTTCATTATTTTTTACCATTAGTAAAAATGTTTCCAGAGATGTAATAAGATGATGCAACTGTGGAGAAGTCATTTTTCCAGTTAATTTACCCAATTGTACTTCAATTAACCATGCATATTCCAATGTTTCTTGATCTAAACTTCTTCCTTCGTTACTGAACATTGCATGCCCTCTAACTTGCAATGCACTTAACATTAAATGTCCTTGATTCAAGTGACGTTCTTTGTTTGACCGTACCACATTATCAGTGAGCAACGCAATAGCAGGCGAGAGAAGTAACTGAAGTTCAGTTTCTCTATATCGTTTTTTCATTTCAAATCCGAATCGTTCAAGAAGTATAACGGGACAAGGAGGATCATTTTCACCGCAATTTTTAATTAGATGGGCTTGTATATCGTGCATGGTGATTCCAACAACTACTTCCAGTGGTCTATAATCTCTAGGATCAAATGACTTTGATTTTGCATCTTCATCATCTACAGATTCAATACTGCTATTCTGTACATCTCTGTCTTTACTTCTCTCTGTAGTCGTAGATGTAGGATTCGTTCTACTTTGCTGCATGTCAGTAAACGTTTGATAATCACCGAATAAGTTCTCTTTTAAATGTATAAAATTTTTTAACAATGACCCATATAAAAACAATATGGATGGGCCTATTTCGAGATCTAAACTAACTTTGTCAGGAGCTATAGATTGTGGATCAAATTTCTGGCTACCATTTGTTGTCCATTGAAGACCAGGTGATTTTCTACATCGAGGTATCCTCATTGGGGATAAAAGAATTTCTTCTTTCTCTGGTGTTGTGATATTTGCTTGTGGGGTAGGTCCTAGAGGTGGACACAGATGATATGTATAATTAATACTTAATGCCACAATTGGTACAGACCAACAGTCAACCCAACCTGCACCCTTCTGACAAACATTTCTCCATTTCTTATTTTTACTTAATTCTGATAAATATATGTGTGATCCATCACGTGTCATAATCTTTGCATTTTTATGCAAAGCTAACAGAATCGTATGATTTGTGTTGACTTCGGGTAAGTAAAAGGAAAGGTCAACGCTTTCACCTTGAATCCAAAAACGTAAAGGTATCGTAACGGGCAGATAGTCGACAAATGGGAGATCGAATGATAGCTCAAAGAATTCTCCACAAAAAGCTATGTGCGCATTTTCTTGATTCTGCGATGAACAATCGATCCAATTATATTCATTACATAACGTGATTAATTCAAATTCCTTTAATACTAAATTAAACTTCCACGTATAAGGTACAAAATGTAAAATATCAGGTCTGGCTTTACTGGCCCAATCATTAATCATATCCTGAAAAAATTCTTTGTGCGAATAAACTAAGTTAGCAGTGGCTTTGCATCCAGTTAAATTCAGTGTCCATTCCTGATGATCATTCCATCTTATCGGATAATGACATTTAATACCAAATTCTAACGTTTCACTTTCAACTAAACTTCGATATTGTAAACTTGTAGTTGCTTCTAAATGCAACAATTGACCTGTTATTTTCGTGGTATATCCATCTTGTAAAACTATCCATGGCATAGTAATTTCCAGATATGAACCAGGTCCTACATTAATATGAACAGCATTCGTTTCAGTATTCTTACTAAAGAGTATGTCAATTGTGGCTTCATTTAATGTTGATAATCTAATATCAAATGACTGGACTTGTCTTTTTTCTCCAGTCACAGGAGGTTTTGTAACTTTCAATGGCTGATAATCATTTGGGAAAAAGAACTTAAATAAGTGTTCTCTTTGTCTATCTGCCCAAGGTCCATAACTGAAATCTGTACCTTTTCCACACTTAATATCAATACCCCAAATTGGTGGCATAGCCTCTACCATATCTCCATTTACTAACTGAATCATTTCTGGATGTTCAGGAACAAATCCAGGTTCATCCATATAGTAATAAACTTCCATATTGTTCGAGCTCAATACAACAAATCCTTCTCCCATGTATCTAGGGGGATCATCCACCATACCAGTATATTTTGGGCTAGGTGCTAAAATGACTTTGAAATTTTCTGCTTTACACTTTGTAAAGTGCATGAAATGATCATGTCGGGATGCTGCTGGTTTTGTAGAATATACAAAATGTGCTTCTTCTACAGTTATCGATAAAGTTGTTGGAACCAATCGATTACCAAATACTAATCTTCCCTGAAACAACAAAATTTGTTATGAGTACATTTAAAAAAAATGTCTATTTACTTGAAAAATACACAATGAACTAACCGTGCAGACATCTAATTTAATAACAGGTATTAAATCTCTCCAAGTTCGAGCTATAACGTGAGCTTCCTTTTTTCTAATATTATCAACATGACGGGAAACATCCATTGCATTTATTTGTTGGCGAGTTTCATTAGCAGTTTTCTTAAATGATTCTGTATCACGATCATCGATATTAACAGTATAATCTTCTTCATCAGGAAACATTTGGGGTGTAAGACCAAATGATTTTTCTAATTGTGCATACAGTTGACAGCGATTGTAAACATGTAATTCAAAGCCATTTAACATGACTGATAATCGAGTATCGGAATGTGATAGATCTAAAAAGGAATATCCTTTTCCATTAAAAGCAGTTTACTTTTATTTAAAAGAGAGAAAACTAAAAATCATGATATTTATACAATAAATAAAAATATAATTCATTTAAAGTACCTTCAGATACATCTTTGGGAACATAACTCCTCCACCATCTAAATATAAGCCATCCATCCTGAACTCTGATACTATAATCTGTTGTAATATAAACTATATCTCTAAACATTATTTTCCCGCTTAATACACTTAGAGTAAAAGAGCCTAATAATAGAAGAAAATTGGTTGCAATTAGTTTGTAGAATATAATATATTAAAGTAAAACAATATATCATGAATCATGTTTTCAATACTCACCTACTTTAACATACCCATCTCTAATAACAAATCGATTTAATAATTTTGTTAATATGTAACCGATGACTCTGCTATTATAATAAGCTATATAAATAATCCAAGCAGTAGCAGATACTAATGAGCAAAGTAAATATATAAAACTACTATCCATCTTAAGATCATCGAGGATGACATGATCGGAATAATTCCAGAAAGCTGGTTCAATTCCAGACAAAGATGGAACTGTAGCATTATACAGCTCATTCTCCTCCATTGTGATATTTTTCTTATAATTATAAAATCAAGAACTATTATTCATTTTGTTATTAAACACTAAAAATACAAAGAAAAAATATTTATTAAAATAACAAAAATATAAAGAATATTACTTAAAATCTAAACTTTTTCCTTCATGATTAATAAATTTATAATTCTTAATTTATTGCAATTGTGTCTTACCATTTTCAAATTTTTCTCTCAAAATTAAATGCAAGTTATTGTTAATATTCATTGGTCGTTATAAGACTGATAAACGAAAAAGTAAAGATTGTAAACATAACCTAAATGATAAGTCCTAATTAAACAATATTTTTTAAAACTGACAATAATTATGTTATATATTCAATTATATTTATCGATTTTAATAGTTATTACTAATATTAATTATTTAAAGAAGTAATCATTTTTTATCGTGAAAATGAACATCAAAATCAACATAAAAAAACATTTACTGTTATCAATATTAGAAGATAGTAACTATACGTAGTTATTTGTTTCTTGGTACATTGTGTTAGTTAAATAATTATAAAGTTATCAACGAAAGTACTTACATGTACAGTGTATTACAATCAAAACGTATCATTTTCAAAAATGTTTTATTAATAAATGCTAAGTAAAACTAATATGTTGGATTAGTTTACCTTTATTTGGTTCTTATATAAGGATAGCATTCAATTTTTGTTGTGTCACTCATGGTTTAATGTTTATTAGTATATCAGTTTTAATAGATGTCATAGAACTGTCATCGATGGACAGTAATACACATAACCACTCCATAGTTGACTACTGTCACTGACTATAAATGTAAGAATGAAGTACAATCTTCTATTGTTAATGCTCCCTTCAAAATACACATGTAAAAGGGGTGATCAAAATATACATTTTTGTGTTTGTTCATTGTAAATGAAAATATATTTTTAAAATCTTCTGTTTAGTATAAAAATTAATTAAAACTGTAGAGTATATGAAAAGACAGTTTAATACCTTTCAAATTTATTGATTTTATATCCCAAAATGTTACCTCTTTAGAAAATTTTGGTCGAAAAGGTTGGTTACTGCAGCAGTGATTTCTGAGCACAAGTGTTTATGGGTATTTACTAGTATGATGATAGCGGGTTTTTATGGTTCTGTTAAGTTGTGTACCTATAAAATTCGTGTAAAAACTGTGTCTAAGAAGTGATTTATAATGCAGTTATAATTGTTTATGATCAGTTTTAGTGAAAAATTAGTCTACTTCAGTATATGGTAAAATGCTGTCAACTGTTTTAAAAACTGTATTTGGTCATGATGATTTTAAAAGCGATATTCAAAAACGTGCAACCACCGCTATTTACAAAGGTTGAAACCTGATTTAATTAATTATACATTATATTTGTTTATGCACGTGTAAATATTAATCAGTGTTTTGTTTATGAATGATTATACATGTCCAGGTAAAGATGATGTATTTGTATGTATGCCAACTGGGGGTGGTAAATCACTTTGTTTTCAACTGCCAGCCGTAATGAAGGAAAATAAAGTTACAATAGTTTTTTCACCACTATTAGCTCTTATGAAGGTATATATTATGGATGGATTAATTTAAAAAATAACTAAATATTGATAGAATGAGTTATATAACATTAATTTTATATTACAGAATCAAGTAGATTCTTTAGTTAGCAAAAAGATAAATGCAAGTTCATTAAATTCGACAACATCGACTAAAGAAAGAAATGCAATAATAAAGGATTTATCATCTACTTCGCCAAAGACCAAGTTGTTATATGTTACTCCAGAAATGGGAGCACAGCAACATTTTCAGGTTTTTATTTTATTATACTCATGGTAAAATTATTAAATAAGAACATTTACAAATAACTGCTAACACTTTTTTAAGGATATGATAGTCAAATTAAAAAAGGCAAAAGCATTGGCTTATTTTGTTATTGATGAAGCTCATTGTTTAAGTCAATGGGGTCATGATTTTAGGCCCAGTTATAGACAGTTAGGAGTATTTAAAAAATTATGTCCTAATATCCCTATAGTTGCACTAACAGCTACTGCTGCTAAAGAGGTATATTTTTCAAATTGTTTATAGAAACATATTTTAGAATTGTTTAATATAATATGTATTATTATAGGTTAAAGATGATATACTTCAATGTTTAAACATGAAAAATCCCCTGATATTTTCAGTACCTGTATTTCGACCTAATCTTTATTATGATATGTGGTTCTTAGAAGCCTTAGATAAGCCATTCGAACACTTGAAGAATTTTATTTTAAAAGCTCTTGGTTCCCAAGATACATCTACCCCAAAAGTAAAAATTCTGTATAAATTATATGTTTTATAAAGACAAAAGGTTTATGTTTTTTTTATGAACTTCTACTGAACAAATGATTTTAGGACAAGAAAAATTGTGGCATTATATACTGTAGAAAAAAAGAAGCAACTGAAGTGATTGCAAATAAAATATCTAAGTTTGGCATACCTACATTAGCATATCATGCTGGTATATGTCACATTATTGTACAGTTTGTCTACAATAGAAAAATTAATGATAAAAGGAAGTAAATAATTTTGCTTGTAGGTCTGAAGAATCAAGAACGTAACGAGGTTCAAAATAAATGGACATGTGGTGAAGTACCTGTGATTGCAGCAACATGTAGTTTCGGAATGGGTGTAGATAAAGGATCAGTTAGGTGAAGTATACAGATGAATGAATATTTTCATTGAACTCCATGTTATTTATTTAAAAATCTATGTTATAATTTGCATTGCAGATTTGTTGTGCATTGGACAGTCCCTCAGAATATAGCAGCATATTATCAAGAATCTGGTAGAGCAGGCAGAGATGGGAAACCAGCTTTCTGCAGAGTTTATTTCAGCAATGAAGAATATAGATCTATCGCATTTCTTATCAAAGAAGAAATAACGCAAAAAAATACAGAACTTGTGAAATTAAGGTGGAAAAATTTTGAGAAAACTGTTTCATATTGCCTTGAAGTAAAGTAAGGATTATAATTTATAGATATTTGTTTAAACAACTTATGGTGATATATAATTTATATATATGTATATTAGATGTAGACACGCAGTATTTTCTAAATATTTCGGAGACAGTCCACCACCATGTAAGAACAGGTGTGATGTATGTGAAAATAAGAATGCTGTTCAGGCGAGGTTATCGCAATTTGAAATGTGCCAAACCAGATCAAATAAAAGTCGCAGTAATCTGGCTGGAATAGCTTTACCAAAATATGATGATATGTAAGTAATACCTAATAAATAATTTTACACACTTTTCATTAATGAATGTTTAAATATTTAAATATATAGAGAAAATGAAGGTAATGAAAGGGAAATTTCAAGAAACAAACTCTTAGCTGAAAGCAAACGGGAATCAAAAGAATTAATTGAGAAGCAGTTTTCTATTCGGAGAATTAATAATAAAAATGACGAGGTACAAACTTAATACCTAAATTTCTCAATTTACTTTATAATATTTTATTCTCTCAATATATTATTCAAGATAAAGAAGCAGAACCTTGAAGATGCCAAACAATCACATGTGTGTGCAGCTGAAAGTACTGATGTAAAAATTAAAGGTCTAACTGTTCAGGTGCGAGAACACTATTACATTCAGTTAAAATCAGCATTAACAGATAATTTTGAGAAAATATCTACGGAGTTAACGGAACAGTTGCAAGAGAAAGATATGCATAATATAGCATATGAGCTTGAATATAAAGCTTTATGTAACACTATAGTTGCAAACAAGTACAAGTTCAATATGTCTAAGTTGGTATGTAATTTAATACATTTACATATTTTCGTAATTTTTAATTTGTACATCAATATTTATTTATGTTTTGTATTATTTACGGTTAAAGATTTCTTCTGTGCGAAAGTGTACCAGCAACAACACTGTTCATGAATACCTACGTGATTACAAACCAAATAATAAACAGCATGTAAAATCAAACAGTTTTAATGAACAAGTAGTAAGTAATAGCAGTTTAGAGAAAGAGGAAAGTGTACCAAGTAAATTTTGTGATAAAGATATGCGCGTTCCTTCCCAAGACTTAAGTGCCGCAAACAAAAATATTTTATATCCTACATTTAAGACCGCTTTAGAGATGAAAAACAATGAAGAAGTAATGAAATCATCATCTACTAAAAATAAAATTTGCTTATTTGATGCAAGTATTTTAACAGATGACAACAATGACATTTACACAACAGAAACGAAAGTAGATCCCAAGAAAAGTCCCATTTATTATAGTGAAAGTGTAGATACTGGAAAGAATAAAGTTATTGAGGAAAACAATAAAAAATCTGAAGATTCGCAGAAATTTAATGGTTTTATGTGTGCTAGGAAGCTTCATGAAGAAAATAAAATAATGTTAAAACTTCAGGACAAAAAGTCACGAAAGTCTCCGCAAGAAGCAAAGAGACAGTCGAAAAATAAAAAAACATCACGTGCTACTGCAACGGTCTATGAGCAGATTATAAAATCTGCCAAATCAAAAACTAATGATATAGAGACAGGGTTAATCTGTAACGAATCAAGTTCAACAAATAACAAAAGTAATGAGAATATGAATGTTACTAACGACATGACAGAATCAAAATTTAATAAAAGACGGAAAGTTATAGATTTATTTGACAACAGTGCAGACAGTCAAACAAATAAAAGAGTGAAGCTTGATCAAGAAAAATTATCTGTGGCGAATTGTGAGATAACTACTAATATTAATTGTGAAACAAATGACATTATTGATATTAGTATAATCAAAACTGTTGCAGATACGAAAAAAGATGAAAATGAAGTTATAAGTGATAGAATAGAATTATTGACTATGAAAAATGTAGATAAAAAGGTATCAAATGACGAGCATTTAGTAACCGAAAATTTAGAAAGAAGAAAATCTCGTGATGTGGAACATCATAAATCAAAACGTGTAAAACATTCGTCTAATAAAAAAGATAAAATAATGGTACCGGCAGATAAGGCAACACAATTTAAAACTGCAGAAATTTTGAAATCATATTTGATGAAATATTATCCATCCAAACGTATTCCCGATAGATCGTCGTTTTCGAAAACTTGTAGGGAAATGCATTATACTTTGCTAGGTCAAAAAATATTCGGTAAAGTATACGTTAATTGGCTTGCATAATGTTCATTTAACTTAAGGATAGTATAATAATAATTATTTTCAGATAAAACGGGAATACATCGATTTGTTACAAAATATATGTCACAGGATTAATGTTTGCATCAAAAGTGTTTAATAGAATCAGTACAGCCTGAAAAGAATTGATCTACAATTGTATATGTGTATATATATAATATATATATATTTATACAAATATAGAATTCATTATTTATGTATTGTATTTATATCACGAATCACGTAGATATTTTATGTATATAAATGTCAATTAATTATATTTCAATTTAATAAATCTTAAGGAAAAATTTTAATTTTCTGAGGTACATTTCTTAGAAACTGCTCCAATTTTTTACATTTGTTTCTGAAAAATACTCTTTAGTTACAAACATACGTTATGAAATTAATTTAAATTGAAAATAATTGTAAGTAATATAATAAACAATGACATTCTATGAAAATTTTGACGTTTTTTTTTAANACACAAACAAAATTTGTATGGGAGTATTTCTGAAGTTACAGAGAAAGGTATTAATGAGATAAAATTTTATTAAAAATATTATTTGAGCAATTTTTATAAATATTTACATTACATTATTTCACTGGCAAGAATTACAATATTCATGAAAGTGAAAATTGTAAAAGTCATGATAAATGTACACATGCGTCTTATTAAATATTCGTATTCTTATAATATCAGTGGTACAATCAAAGGAAAGAAATTATTAAGAAAAACTTCAAACGATGTTGTTTCATCGAACTATAATTAAGTGTTAGAACAATATGATTCATGAGTTCAATTTCGTACTATAAAAATACTGTTTCTTTAATTGGTCTACTATATTCTCGAATTTAGGCAAGACTGATATTTTAAAAGTCTCTACATTTAGTGAATTACTTAAAAATGACAGAACTTCGCGGTACCTTATCTTCAACATTAATGACTTAGAATGTTATACTATATGAAAATCTGCTTTCCTTCACCGAATCCAAATATAATTTTCTATTAAAACACTTTAATGGAGTTACTTTTATTAATATTTCAATTGACATTAATTTAATCTGGAGATAAATATTAATTAATTGATTATTTGAATATATCCAAGTAACGTAGAATTTCCTCCGGTCTGTTGATTAAAAAGAAATGGCAATTTATCTAAGATTTTATAAATTTCACGAAGAATTACAAATTATTACTTATGAACGATGCTTCCAAAAATTTACTCATTTTAAATATACCAAAATACCGCTAACATGATTTCTGTCATTTCTGTTGATCCATATTCATTATACTTTCGTTAAAGTTCAATATTTTTTTTTCGCTTTAAATACGTGTGCATACATAGAAATGATTGAAAGTATAGTAGAAAATATTTATACGATGATTCTGTACTTTATAATCTTAATAATCTAATAATGATAAATATGTATTAGATTAACAAACGGTGCAATTCCAAGTAGATCATTTTTTATAAGTATGTCGTGATTTACAATTACAATGCAACTACAACCCCTATATGCTCTTCGATTTTCAAATCGAAATCTTTCCGCCTAATTAGTACCAATGCATTTAGTTATTCTTTCATCAAAAATACTTAATTACTACGTACAGTCTATATTAGAATCAGTCTTAATTCGTTTTATTTTTTACATATACATTCATGTGCAAATTCATCGTATGTACATCACACGACTGATTTTATTATTTTCAATAAGCATAATAGATTCCTTACTGTATTTATATATTGACTATAGAACAGTAAAGTGTTAGTAATTTAATTAATAATAATTTATTTTCAAAAAAAGAAAGACTGACATCGATTCTGATACGATGTTCACGTATCAGTAAATAGAAAATTTATGAATTTGCACCGTTTGTATTGACAGATGATAATTGCGTCGCGATAGAAAAATGTATGAACAGATGACACTACTCACCATCTAAGGTGATTTATTCGTTATGATTTTATTATTCAAACTAACTCAACCCTTTTAACGATCACGCGTTTCATAGTAAATCATGAAATGAATACTATCAGCCCACTGTTTCATGACGCTGTCAGCGTTACGATACAGTTTGAAATCTATAAAACTACCATAAAATTGAGACGTCTCGATACGAATAATTCTAAGCTCCCCAATTGTGGAAGCACTTTCCTACTTATTAATACGGACTTCGCTCGTTTACTCGAGGCGGGTGTGGTCTCTCAAAATCCACAGCCATTCGAAGCCTCCCGTTGGATATAAGCGTAGAACGACTTTTACGTGGAAAATAGCCTCTTTCTGAAACTCAAATCGCGTACAATCGGTCACACAATTTCCTCTTTCAAATTCAATAGTTCCGTTGTAACGTCTGACATCCCGTTCCCGTCCTTCGACACGAGCAACGTATTGTCTATTTCGTTCATTTTGCACGACAGCCGTCTGTTCGCTATGAACTGTAAGTTATGATTTTTGATGTCCGAAATCTGATTGGGTAACAATGATCCTTTTGTTTGACACAAAACGATTTTGTAGATGCTGACGATTATTCCCGCGACTCCGGCGATCACAAAGGTGTACGTCATCAGGGTTGTAAAAACTGGCAAGCAGTTTAGGTAGAACCAAAAGCGAATGTTCATTGCCGTTGGCAATTCGTACAAACCCTGGAAAAAACGTTTTATTAATTTAAGTAGAAATTATCATAGATTACGTATATTATTATAAATAAATGTTCTATTAAGAATTCCTGTCAATAGAAAAGTGAAATTTAAGTTTATAATTTACATTTATTAATAGAATTATTCATATTATTGTATTACTGTATTTGTACAAACACTTACTATTTCAAACCATAGGAGCGGCAACACGGTATTTTCGAATTTCTCCACTCTGGCCATGTGACCGATGTTTTGCAAGGCCATGTTTATTTGGAATCGGAAGGCGACGTTCACCGGAAGCCCCGATTTTGGTTGAACGTATGCGAAAGACTCGTGAAGATCCGCCTGCGGATTTAAACCCTGCACAGCCTCCAAAACGGATGGATCCGTCTTATAAAAGTGCGGATAAGAGAGAGCGATGGGAAAACCTGAAAATTTGACAGGGTAAGTTCATTAATACCAATTTTCAATTTTGATAACATTGATTTTATTTTTCAAGATCATTTTATTCTTATATAAAAGATAAAGAAAATATTATATAAAAAATGTTATTATTTAAATTATCTTACCATAATAACAGTCGGTTACATCTATTAAGCCAGGTTGCAAGCAATGCCCTTGACGGCAGAAGCATTTATTCTCCGGGTTGTAGGCGCCATTATCCAATTCGTTTTCAACGAATGTTAGCTTGTACGTGTGCAATCCGTTTATCGTCTTCTCCCCGCTATATTTCTACAACATTATTAATGGTTCGGATGATTAAATCGTCGGTATATTATCTCCGAAATTCTTTAAATCACTGATAGCATCGAGACACTTAAATGATCGATTAATAGCCTGGATTGGGTTGAAGCAAGTTTCATTTAATTGGAAATCGGATGCATTCGATCATTCATGAGCTCGGATGATTCTGGTTAGAATGAACGTTCAACACACCATGTGGGCACTACGACACAGACTTTTCCTGAAGAAAAGGACACTGTCGTTCTTCTCTATGTAACCTGGGAACTTGGCGCCGTCACTGGAACCGTTCACATTCGCACACTTTCCTGTCCATTGCGGTAAATTTACATCGCCATTGTACTTCTCAATTAGACCCGAGAGGTGAACATCGGTTTCTCCAGTGTAAACTGTTTCGTAATCGCCATCGAAATCATACATCTGCGAGCAAAAATAAGTGAAATTGCAGAGAAACGAATTGGTAATTGACATTCAAAAACGTGGTGAACTGGATGAACGCGCAAGGACACTACTTCAATTCGCTATGAATCACTTGAATATTTAATAAATATTTAAATCAATGCTACCTATACAATAGACACGATAATAAATTTATAATTCACGAGTTTTGTTAGTTTGATTTTTATTTTAAGTTAATCGATAGTTAATGAAAATTGTAAAAAAGTAATCCGAGGTCAAGGAACTTACCCTATCGATGAGTCCAAGCTTGTCGAACTTGATCCATGACGGCATCATTTTATTGCCCAAAGTGACTAAGGTGGATTCGTAACCAAACATAAATTCTCGAGCGGTCATTGGGACCAAAGGTTTCGAGTCCGTGTGATGAATTAGCACGTTCAAGCCCAACCTGGTCAAATACGAAGCCTCTCTCATTACATTCGTAATACTCTGGAACAAAGCAATTCGTGAAATAGTAAGTCGGAGTAATCACCGTGATGAATTAATTGGATGTACTTATTAGATTTCTAAGCGTACGAAATGTTTTTACATGTCGAATGCGATTAATACAATTTCGTGTTACTCAGACCACATCGAAATAAAATAAATCAGAAACGCGAAACCCAACGAATTAATTTCAATTCCAAGCTCCGAAAGGAATGGAACCAATCAACTTAGGAGTGAAAGACGGATATTGTTAATCAAATTAACTTAGAATCGTGAATGCTGAATTAAACTGTGAACAATCGGTTGAGTGTAAAGAGCTACATGCAACATAATATTAGTTGTGGGATGCATTAATGAATTGCTCTTTTCCCTGTTAACCATCAAGATTTTATCGCGATCAAGTCTGCAGGTAGCCGTCCAATGGTTAGGTCGAGTAACTTTTAGTTCAGATCGAGTCTGGACTATGACATCTAAGTCTCGAGTAAGAAAAAGACTGGATCGATAAGTCTGGACAGTTGAGAGACAGGGGAGACCTCAAGGCTTGGATGAAACCCCAGGATTGAGATATCATCGAAACTTCCAGTTAGCTAACCAGGGGGCAGATCGAATAAAAAATCAAAAAATTTGAAAGCTAAACACTCAGATCTACAATAAACTAATCTGGAACCAAGGAATTCCAACTACACTTATTTAGGGTGAATCAAATCAAAGAATTACCAGACCGAAAGATTTAAACCTGAGAACTCTCAGATCCGAAAAGCCCAAGCTTAATAAACATGAAGCTCAAGTACTTAAGTATTCAAATTTGAAGATCTTCGAACGTAGAGGTCTAAATCTCAACACTCTATAATGTAATTCTACAATCCGAAGACCCAAGAATCGAAGTCTAAAAACTGAGGAGTCAAAAGATTCTGAAATGTAAATCTTCCATAAGACCCCTGGGGTTCTTCCAATGAGGAACAATTGTAAAACAACAATTACGAACATATAAAATACATTGTATCTTCTTGAACAAGTTGTAAACGCCATTACAGATTAAACAATGTTAGCGATAGTTTAGTTGTTAGCCTTCGCAATTGCAAGAAAATAGTTCGAGTCACTCATTAATCGGCACCAATTAATCTAACTCGTTACAAAACTCCTGTACTGCATGGTACGAATATTACAGTTAATTAGCAATTATGTGTTATCGGTAGAAAGTTGAAGAAAATCGTTCGTTCAAGATCATTATTCACTGCGGTATCTCTTCCCTTAACCGATTAAACCGATTCTATTGTTCCGTTTTGTTCAAGAACGCACTTGATCAAAGACTCTATCGTGTTCCTCGCATGTGGAGACAAAGCGAGTCTCGAACTTCCGTGGTTTTTACTATCTGCGAGAGTTCATTGACGCCATTGTAATTGGCCGCGCGCGGTTACTGTCTGCCGTGCGCGTCGTTGGATCTCCTGCACGCTTTAAGTCAACATTCTTGCCGGTCACATACATATGCATGCGTTACGTGCAGGTACACGTGTTACATAAGGATGCACTTCACAAATTATTCCCGATTCTACTTTGCTCGCCTGCGAACGACCGGTAAAGTGCCCCAGGAAACGCATTTTCGATCCCACCTTCATTCACGGATGATTTCTAGCTTCTTACGTCAATGAAATTAACCAACAATGAATCACTTCATTGACACTAGACATACCCGAGCGATTATCATGATTAACACGTAATCCTTATAAAAATTTAAAAATAGATTTTTCTTCGACTTCTTCACATATTGATTATGGTGTTAAAAACTGAAACCCATCATTTTGATGGGTGCGGTTGTTCTAGTGTTAAATAACGGAGAACATTTTTAAATTCTAGAAAACCTTTCCGTGCTCGTTTTAATACTCAGAGTATTTGCTTCGTTTACAACAAATTATTCTGCATGATTTCCTGTGATCGATCAATTAATAAGCGCAATTACATACGGAGTTATATAATTCGGTCCTTGGTGCTCCATACATGATACTTCGCGAACAAAAAGATAACGGAAATGGACGATTAAACGAATGAAGAAAAAATGTTTGTGCGATTTCTTTTTTTTCCGAGTAATTATCCCTTTCTGAGATATATGATTGTGATGTGTGTATCTAATTATGATCGATTATTGTATTCCTTTAATACAATACAAGTACTTAGCAAGGTAACATTGGGCTATTATAATTCATCTTGATCTCCCGATATTTCTTTTCTACACGATCAGTTTTGTACTGAATAATAATAATTCAACTACATACATGTGTTCTTTGGCATAGACATTTTCTAATAACGGGAGTGTAGTATATTACGGTTTAATAAAGTTCTGGTTGAACGTATCGGATTGATTGGTACTTTTTCTTTAATCGACCGTGAGTCGTCCGCAAAGTAGGTAGAAAAACGCTGTGCCTTAATAAATTTTATAAATGTAAATTTTTATCTATAATTATTGTGGACAGAATATTTTATTAATTCTGTCTTTGTAGATCACAAAACACTATCTAAATTGTCTAATGGGTAATGCAATTAGAAAGGAGGTTAGAAAGGAAATGGCTTCAAATGGCACTCAACTGAAGACAATATTTGGGGAGAGCGTCGGTCACGTAAGCGATGTCTGGATAATAGAAAGAACCTCCTATTCTTCTCTTAAAATCATAATTTTCCTCTTAAACTTCTGAAAAGCTTACGTCTTTTATTTTCTAATTAAAATTTCAGTTCTACGGGAATGAGAAAAGGATTTTAATTAATTATATTATTTCAAAAATACTTCAATTATCCCGAAAAAATTCGAATTCAATGTATATTAGTCCGCCATGTATCTATAGTTCCTTCTTACCTAGTTCATTACTTAATCAATTACGTTACGTGTAATCGGAGTACAACACGTTTCCGCGTATATAGAGATGACTAACAGAAACACACCAGACGCGTGAGCAAATTTTTCCTTAGGCAACATTCAGCGATTGCAAAATCTCACGGCAACAAGAGTGAATAATGTACCTCACTTGTAAAGTATCAGTTTCTTTCTTGACAAGTTTTTTTTTGTTTCACCGTGTACTAGGTAATCTCACATTTACATTCACTGACATTGTATAGCTGCTGTTACATAATAGTTCGATTTATATTCCTATAATCATTACCAGTAAAAAGCGGAGCATTTGTATAAAATTTATACTGTCTTTTACAGCTAATACAGAATATAAATTCACTTTTACAATATCCGTGGAGAGACGTAAGTTATCTTTAATTAGTGATTATTAATATATGATTATACTTTTAAGTCTTAGTTTTTTAGTTTTTCTTAAATACGAACTGAAAGTAGACTTTTGTCGTTATTACTCTTAAACATTATTATCTATTGGTAATAATTGTTATTATTTTAATCCGTGTTGTGCACAGAAATGTTGAGAATATGCTGCACCATTAGTATCTATAAAATTGCTTTATTTATATGAAATTCCACCTGAATAATAAGGAAGCGTAAATAACATGGTAAACAGAATCAATTTTTCTGCGGAGATGGAAATGTCCTCGTGAAATCGATGACTACGTTCATCGCGATTACGATACAAACACGGAGATCCTCCAGCTCGTACGCGGAATTGGATTGCAGTTCTGCATTTCCGTCTTCTTTTTATCGCGACGCTATTTGTAAACAACTTCATTAAACAAACCTGGAGCTTTCTGATTAATGACATCTGATTCGATTTCTGCGCAACGATCTACCAACTTCAAACCGTTTGCTGAACTCATTCGGACGACATTAGTTTCATGCTATATTTTACAACGAAAACGAACGCTAGATTAATAACTAATTAATGAACGTAAAAATGATAAATTAATAGAAAATAAATTTTTAATTTGAATTTTAAATTTAATTCCTGTGAAATAGTTACGAAATATAGTTTAATATTACTTTCGTGTTGCATCGTAGCTTATTATAGTTTGTTTATTTATGAGTTTGATTGGATAGGTTAAGTTATCTAGAAAGTTATCATAGTTTCAAGGCAAACGGTTCTATGTCAGTGGCATCAAATGAAAAGAATAATAAATGCAACGATTTGCGTCATAACAAGACGTGTTGCTACAATCGAGCGTGTAATGTCGTCTTTTACCTTCGAGAATGAGGAGAAGTTTCTAATGCACAAATATTTATATGTAAATATTTATTATTATTGTTCGACTGTTTCAACAGTCTATTAATAATTCGTCATTCGCCGCCAGTTATTTTATCATATCTATTCAGAGTACAAATTATGCATTCTTAAGTCTAGTATAACAGAAATATTCAAACTCATTATATGTAGATTGTGTGCAAATTATCTGGCCAAAGTGATTGTAAATATGCACAGGACTTTAATAGATACAAAGTGTGCGTGGAAAGCTCTTGTAGTTAATTCTTCTTGACATCATAGCCGTGCACTTATGGCTGCGTCTAATAACAGCAATTCCCTGTGTATATGTTTGTATATTTGAGTGAGTAATGAAACGGTAATAACAATATACAGATATCCACTTAACTCGGTGCCCGCGTGTGCAAGAATAAACTCAAGGAGCAGAATAGAACCATGTGAATACATTGCAACGTCATCACTCTCACTCTCGTTCGTGTCCAGTGACAATGTTCACCGACATGAGATACCGGTTTCATTTTACAATGCTGATCTATCCCACGTAAATATCTAATTTATGACTTTTTTAAATTAGTTTTTACCGTGATAATCACTTCAAACTGTTTGTGATTTTAAATTATGCGCGTACCTTAAAAAATGGAACAGCTTGTTTGTCGCAAGAAGTTTTCCAATTATCTACTAAAAATTGAAAAACTAAAAATATAAACATTTGTTTAATATTGAAGTCTCAAAAACATAGCCGTTTTTAAAATATTAAAACTTCAAAAATATGCAAACTTGATAAATATTAAAATCTCAAAAATATACCAATTTAAAAATATCAAGATATTACAAATATTTCAATACCGCAAATACTTATAAATTATTTAACCTTTTGCACAATAATCATTCATAGTGGTCACTAGATTCAGGACATAGTAAATTAGAAAATTTAATACTTATGTTAAGCTTTGTATAATGCATCAATATATGAAATATTGAATTAAAAAACTGTGCTCCTTAATCTATGCACACTGTCTCAATAAATTGTTTTCAAAACATGTCGTCTATATCTCGACAGAAAATGTTGGATAATTCTAGTGAAGTACTTTTTGAGTGCAAAGGGTTAAAGAATCGTTACTTCGGGAGTACCGAGAATAAGATCATCTCAAACTTTTCCTATTTAACTTCGTTGGATCGACTCTATTCACGAATTGTGTCTACATCTATTTTTTCAAACAAGAAGGGTTTGTTCCTCTTTCTTTATTGCTTTCGATCAATCATACGAACCACATTACACGGGCTGTAGCAATATTCTCGGTCGACGTTGAGTCAGGTTGTTAACGACCGTCGTTGACGTCCTTAATCGAGCGTTCACCTCATTAAAAGGACTCTGTCACGGAGATTGTCTTGTTATTTAGGGGTTTATCGACCATAATGATTCGGTACTCAATTAAATTGAGGCGCACCGCGTCGTGCGATTAATTTCGTCTCGGTTTTTTCTACCAAGACACACTTGTCTCGCGCACACCGGTCCGAGGAGCGAGTAGGAGGTGTGTGAAAGCATCATGTAATAAGGTAACATCGCAACCTTCGGTGTACAACAAGGCTATGGAGTAAACACGATGATTAACAGCGTTCTTTTAACGCGCTAGGTCGCCGTTGTCGAGCGAATGCGATACGATCAATGATTCTGTTAATATGATTACAGATTATGGTACTTTATCTCATAATGGCTTGTCCGTCGCGTGAAAGGATGCTTAAAACTTGATGAAAGGTTGACAAGTCTGTTTGCAACTCGTTGGACAGAGAACACAAAGGTTGAAGCATCATTCGTGGCACATTGGACCTAAACAGTCTTTGTACACTCGATTATTTTATGATAATTTCATGTAAAAAAATGGCACATCGATGCAATCCAGATATTTTACCTAACTCGGACTTTATTATATATTTTTGATAATGAATTATAAATAGTTCGAATATTAACATTAGATCTATTGCACCCACCAAAATGGTGAGTTTCAATTTTCTCGTTTTACAATTATTGGTGTCTTGGAAGCGTTAAATATCCGAAATGATTTGAAAAATAAGTAGTTTCACTTGAATACTATACTGAAAATAGGAAGAAACCGAAAAAAATCTATTGTTGCAATTTTTATAAGGATTACATGTTCATCGTGTTAAATGCTTGGTTGTTCTAGTGTTAAGAAACAAAGGTGAAAGAAGTTCTCGAAGAGAGGATGATTCTCATTTGAATAAAAGAGAAGCTTCGCTTATTGTCGTGATCAATCTTAATGTTGCATTTTCCACAATATCGGAGTTCTCGGTTTCTTTGAATTCCTCATTCGAATGACGTCAGTGTCGCGAGTTCACGAATTCCATTGAATTTCGCGTGAGCATCGTGCGCTCAGAGTTATAGAATTGGAGCATGCACAGTCATATTCGTGAAGAAGGAAGTCAAACGGGGAACTCGAAGGGGAATAAAATTGGTTGTTTCACTCACCAACAACGCGATGTTTGGAAGTATCATTAGGTCCTCCTCAGTTCCGTTGCTTTTCTCCGGCACGTAGACCAATGGATGATAGACGTTTGCAGTTATGGTGCCGTTTGTGTTGAATTCAACGTCTCGATGCTCGAAAGCCTCTCTAAAATTAATTTCCCACTTATAGATTATCGTACGATTAGAATATCATTAACGCAGAGTTTATTCATAATTCATTACTTGTTGTTCTTTATTAGTTTCGTAAACTTCACAATTGACAACTGAGAACTTTTTAACCAATTTTTCAATGTTATAGTGATTACATTGACGATTAACCCCTTGTCCTATAATATCGTATCAGACTCGCGACGACAATTTTAAACTAAATTTCTCAAATATAAGTGTTAGTTACTTTTTCCAATAGAAATTAAATATTAGTTTTCTATCATCAATTGTTAACCTTTGGAATAAACGTAGATATATAAGAAGTGTCAAATCCTTTTCTTTTTCTGATACGTTATTTACGATAAAGCAGTTTTATTAAGCGTAGTTATGGAAGTAATCATAGGACAAGGGGTTGAATCTACTTTTAAAATTCTTTTAGGATCATCACTTAAAAGACACTTATCACAGCCTTTAATGTTAAAATATTCAAAATAAAGTAAGCATTACAACGAAGATCGAGAAATTTATCATTTTTCAGTAGAATGCGAAATTCTGAATAATAAAGAAAAATAAATTCTTGCTTGTCATCTATCCTGGAAAATCTTAGTTAACACTACAATTGTGTCTGTTTACATTGCTTAATTAATGAATCAAGCGGACGAAGTCGAGGAAAATCTATACCGATCTTGCTCACCTGTACACGTAGGGACCGACTTCTTGGAAACTCAGTTTGCTGGCTTTGCCGGACATATAATCGTCATGGTTTGTCACATTGAAGAGGTAGACCTTCAAGTAGAGCTCGACATCCGGTTTCCGCCACATTTCGAAAATCTCTCCGCCCGGTCCAAAGACCACCTTCAGCTTGAAGAACAGCTCGTACGGTTCGAAGACGATGAACAGGGAGCCTATCGTCAGGCAGAGCGCGCTCAAAGCCATCAGGGCGAAAATATCTGTGCCCGACAAAAAATAAAGGAGACACGACTTAACACTTCGCTATAAAATAGAATTTCTGCGCGATCTATTTATACCGAAACGGAATTCAACATACTCGTATTGGACGTAAAATCGTGAGCTCTAAATAAGATTCCGATAAAAACGTGCTCAGCTATTCGGCTAGAAATTTTATGAAGTAATTTGAATGAAACTGTTTTGTAAAGTGCGAACGATATTTCGTTACAATCGCACCATCGTGGACGTATTTTATTAGTTATCATCGCGAACCGCATCATTACGGGCACACCGCAGATCATTATGCGAATTCCCGATTGATTGTTTCTAACTAATTGGATTAAGGCGAAATTAAAAAAAAAGATTTCTGTGATAAAAGTAACGCGACTGTAATAATCTTTGTTGAAACGCCGACTGCCACAAAAAATGTCGGCGTTTTATGTACCACTTATTCCTTTGTAGCACAGATGATAAGGAATGATTATTAATTACTTCTTATCACGAATATTTTGTTACATTATTATCCAATTATTTACGTTGTCGAATATTCTTGTTCAATGTCTGTTATTTTACAAATTTAATAAGTAATTTAGCATGTAATTTAGAAGCTACAGTCATTGGTAATCATCATAACAGTCAGTAAGTCAATGCACTCGTTCCTTAGTGTTTTGTAAGATTACAGATAGTATAAGTATACTTGTTGGGTCATCCTACAAATAATTTTTTTTATGAAAACGGATTTTATATTTCTTTTGTTTTTCTAAATAAAAATGAACAAAACTTTTTCTAAAGTAATTATAATGTATAGGTAGACAGTTTATGGGTAATGAAGGAGACTATGTTTTAGATTAAAAACAGTTTCGTTTATCTTTATTTTCAGAAATAAAAGAAATATAATAAATGCAAATATGACCTAATAAATGCATGGAAATTTTCATCCAGTTACCAATGACAAGAGGATCGTCATTCGCCGCGTGAAGTAAGACAAATACTTCAATGTCGCCTATATAACAAACGGCAATTTGTGTGTCCGGACAAATAATAATTATAAACGATTGATCTAGCTTCTCGCGTATTAGCGTTACGTAACAGGATGATTCGAGATTCTCTCACTTTTTTACTGATTTTTCGAAAATCTCGACGGAACGCAAGAAATCCCCTCACGATATCACGAATCATTTCCGTTTCTTTTTTCCGCGAGCGCGACGATGCTCCGTGAATTATTTACCGTGCTCGATAAATACATCCGACATCTTTCAAAATATTACGTGTCGCGAACGTTCGACGCATTTGCGCGCGGTACGCTTGGAATTCCGGTTCGCTCGGGGATTTTTGGTTTATTTCGTGGGAGTGCACGCACGGAACCGTATGATGAATATTAAGAGAAGAAGAATAAAATTCGACGAAAAGTTCCATGCTGTAAGACTTGCGGTTGAATTGTGATCTCGCGCCATTTTTCTCTGTTTCCGGAAATACTGCGCGCGTTTTCACGCAACCGCGGTTGCGTGGACTATTAACTCATAAGGTGACCATGGATTTTTATCCTTTTACATTAACATTGATGTATTTTTAGATATTGAATAGTATTTAATTTATAGTTTTATAATTTGGTTTTGTAAGACAGAGGTACAACGAGATTACTTTCTTAATTAATCTATATCCTTTCTTAAAGCAACGTCAATCGTTTACTTATCATTTATAACTGTATTGTGAGGTGTAAAGAGTAATTATTTATAACTTTATGTAAGGCAATAATAAAAGTATTTTAAAGGGAATGAAGTTCTGTTACATAAGGATTTAATAACCATTCTTGCTTTACCTTATGAATTATTAAGACAGGTAAAAAATTCGTCCAATACTCATTGCCAAGAATTCATTTCGGAAAAAGTCTACTTTACGATTAGATCGGATTAAACGTTAATTTCGCGTGCACCGCGTAAAAAAGCCTATTCGGTCTAGATTGAACCAATTCGATGGAACAATTTACATATTTTATAGTTGCTTGAAACTACATATTTATCTTGTATGCTTTTTTCCCATCTCAATTATACCGCGATGATATTCAAATCGATCATTAAATGATGAATATCGTGATCTACAACACCTCTCTGACGTAGTTTACGCACATTGCCATTAGAATTTTTTATGGAATAAATTTCTTACGACGCGCAATAATATCGTGTAGATTTCCGGGGTATATTAATTTCTTCTTTATTGGCTTCATGGAAAAGAATACTAGAAAACCTTGGATTGTCGCAGTGATAAGGTACGATGGACTTTTCTGTCATCATCCGCGTGATTTTCTATTCTTGGCTCGCGACGTGGGTGGTTCGGTTCTTTATTCCGCGTCTTTTCTTTATTGGCCCGGAGTGTTTATCGAAACATGTTGAAACTTTTAATTCGTACTTAAGTAAATTTTTAACTCTTAATTCTTAATTTTTATTTTTATACAAGGTTAGAATTTTGCGATTAGCAATGAAGCAATTTCAGAAGCTAATTTTTTCTATTAACGGCCTGTAGAATCTTCTCCTTTTCGTCACGATTAATTTGAAGATGGATATCACAAATGATGTAGTACTCATGGACAATACAACTCGCGTATCTTCCCCCAGAAGTGGTCCGCAAGATGAATTCCATTCAACACGCGCCACGTAATTTTAGTCATCGACATTGGCCGCGCACCTACGCCGATTCATCGAGCATGTAACCGATTGCTTCGGCAAGCGTTAAGTAACCTCACCATAAATCACGCGGAATATTTATGCGCTGCGGAAATGAGAATTTGAATTCTTGCGCAAAATAAAAAGAAAATTCCCGACGATACTGAATTGAAAAAATTGTGAATTCCTCAAAACGTGGAACTCTTGGAGCATTAGAAGATTTATATTGAACATAAATCTACGTTGAACAATACAGTCCCCGAAAGAATCGAAAAAATACGATTGACAGAATATGATCACAGTTTATTAATTCATTTAATAATCAACGATTTATATCGCCACGATCGATGACGTTTGAAATAAATAAATCAATTATCTTCATTTAATTATTCGAACGTACTCAGGATCGTTAAATCATCCAGTTTAATTTGTTTTTGTGCTTGAATATCGTACGATTGCTACGGCGGGGGTAAGTGGGGGCTCGATGAGAAAATTACGTGACCTAAGAAACCGTGTTCGTGAAAATTCATGAATAAACATTCAGTCGTTCGATTATTTAATGTTTTTATCGATCTTCGTTGACTACGACGACCGAATGAAAAGGTGTCATTCACTTTGTGATTTCACAACAGGTCATGACACGTGTTGTGCAAAACCCTCTGCCGTACGTGTATTCGTTCGAAGTATTTCACGTTGTATTATACCCGACCTTTTGGGCCCCGACGAGCATTAAGCTTAATAGACAGATGAGAAACAATCTTAAACGGGGATTTAGGATTGACAAACACCAATTCGTCCGTTCGTTCGTTTCGGAGAAGGAGTCGTTTTGCTCTCGACTATTGCAAGACCTCTGGCAGTGCGGCATGGTGTGGTAATAATCTTCCGACGGTAATCGGGACGCGACTGCGAATGCGCTACCCAATAGAAAGTGCATATTTGCCCTCCGCCGTTATATTTTATATCCATGAAATCGCAACACTTTTATGGATGTTATCACGGTAAAAAAATACCAGCCTCCGTACACGGAAGAGGAAATTAGGAAATCCCTCGCGGGACGACTACCATGCGTTTATTGGGCTTTCGTAATGCCCGTGAAAGACTGGCTGGCCTCTCATGAATTAACCAAGATTTTAATAAATGCCCGGTTTGATTCGATCGTGCTATGTCAGGTGTGACTTCATCAATTATATTTCTCATTTGTCTGAATGAGAAATGTGCTTGGTTCTTAAGTTGTTCTTGCTCTGAACCACTTTCGTACACCGGTATTTGTTATTTATGTTTTATGTTATAACGTTTTTGAGTTTATGAGAACATTAACAATGTAGTTACCGACAATGAGTTGTCCGATTGGCCGTTTGTAGTTTTCTTAGAGAAAATAAAATAAATTGTGAGAGTGTATTTCTTGAAACTTCGATTGATCTGTATTTTAATTATAAGATAGTCGTCATATGTACACGTTTCATCGTGACTTGTAAAATACAGAATCCTCCAGAAAGTTCGAGATGCATTCGATTCATATTTCACTTTATAAACGAATGTAGCTTCTTGTTTTCTTTAACGTACCCTTCTGTGTTCGTAATAATTTCATTACGTCAGACACGTACCACTTTAATTCCTTATGTCAGCAACTCTTCTGCTTCTTTCATTGTAAATCATTGTCTGGCATTGTATGTTTCATAAACTGGTTAGATACTATAAAATCTCTATTCGGACTATTATAATGTATTTTCAAGCGTTTACTGCAATATCGCTCGATACACTTCGCACTCATGCATACATTTTCACTTCTGCCAGTAACAAAAACGCAACATCTAACTTTTTTAGGTTTGCATATAATACGAGCACGTATTCCTTAGCTGAATTAATTAATTTCTTTTTTTGCCGAGAAGGTGATAAGTACGAGTCTGCTTCCGGCATGGAAAGAGATATCGATTTAAAATTTTTCTGGCAGCGACCCTTTATCATCCAAATTTGAACAACTAAGCTTCATTTTTCTACTTTAAAGTTCAAGAGTCTCGAATACTTTCCAATAGTCCCAATTTACAAAACAGATAAGAGTACAAAAAAATACACTATCTCACAGCTCGTTTTTAGTAAACCAATTTCCATTTCGTATTTCTACTTGTTCCATAAATAAATCCACAAATCTTGAAATTGTTACATTTAACATGTTTTTTGAACTCCTAAACGTTTTATCATTTTTTACTATTTCTCTTATCAGTGATTTTCTTTCAGTGATAGGATAAGTGATCACAAACTTTCCAAAGGTAGCATACGATATTCAATCAAAAGTAGTTACTAGATTATTGTCGATCCTTCCGGTCTCTATTTAACATGTTGAA